CAGCAGAATCACAGAACCCAAGAATGGACTAACAGTTACCAAAGGGAAAGAGACTGGGGAGAATGGGAGGGTAGGGAGGGATAAGGGCAGGGACGAAGAAAGGAGGTATTATGATTAGCATGTATAATGTGGGGGGTGGGGGAAAGGGGAGGGCTTTGCACAACAGAGAAGACAAGTAGTGATTCTACAACATCTTACTATGCTGTTGGACAGTGACTGTAATGGGGTTTGTCGGTGGGACTTGGGGTAGGGGAGAGCCTAGTAAACACAATGTTCTTCAAAAAAATAAAAATAAATAAATTTAAAAAAAAAGAAAGAACGTCAGCATTGAGACTGCTTAGATCATGCTGAAGCGAAAAGATGCAAACTAATAACTTCCTGGTGGAAATATAAACAGAAGTTCCTGGTATTAAAACAGAGATTAATATTACCAACATTTGACCATCAGAAACCTATTTTTATGCACTTTCTCCTCCATCTGCAGGTGGTGGGAAGAGGACAATTTTAATCAGGATATTTCTCTTTAGTAAGCTTAATTTTCTTAAAGATTTTAATAATTCCAAGTAATACTACACTGGTTTCATTAAAATTGGGTTTTAGTGACAGACTGCATAATAGATAAAAATGGTGTTATAAGGAATAATTCCATGCCTTTATGAATAAGTTCCCTTAGATAGGACGGATTTATGGCAGGCAGTGAACCAAAGTCTCCAGTGTGGTATTAGAGGGCAGGACTCCCCTGAGGAGTAAAAGGAGAAGAAAGTCAACTTCAGCTGGAAGCTTCCAAAGGAAAAAAAAGGTACCTCTTTAGGAAAAAAAAATCTGAAATAAAAAAAATAATACTTGAAATGAATAAAAGTTGTTGGATTATTGGGTGTAAAAGATTTTAGTTGGTATCCAGAGTTGAAGTGACACTTTAAAAGATTAAATCAATAGAAGTACATGGTTGATAAAAGGCCAGAAAAATTCCATCTAAGAAAGAGAAAAAAGTTTTAAAGGATTTGATAGCTAAGAACCATTTTGGGGAATCTCCTGATAAAATTTTTGATATTAAAACTGCAGAGAACAAACTTACTGTTAATCCATGCTATGTAATTTTGAGTCCAGTTTGCCCTTCATCTTTTACCTGAAAAAGGGCCTGAATTTAACCAAAGTCTACAATGAATTTCTACAGAGGAAAAAATTGTGTGTGTGTGTGTGTGTGTGTGTGTGTGTGTGTGTGTGTGTATTAAAGACAAACATACCTGCTTCATCATAGGATACAGTCAATTTTTCTAGCATTTCTCGGTCAATTGACAGAATCTGCTGTTCCAGGATGGTCTGGTAAGACAATACACTGTTTTCTTTGTCTTTCTCGTAGTCCTGAAGATGTTGTTTAAGGGCCTCTGGGAGTCGAGATTTTACGTATTCGGCTGCAGTCTGCAGTTAAAACAGGTAGAGAACTCCATTAGCATCTCTCATCTTGCGCATTGTGGCAAGAACTCAAAGTACTGCAGAGCCAACCCTTGAGATAAGCATTTCCTTGTCATCACCCCTTTCAGACTCCCCTGTACCAAGCAAGGAAAGTCTTCAACTAGAATCACAGACCTCTAGGAATTTTCTAGCAGGTTTACAGGCATAATAGATGATGGATATGGTTTAGCATTCAAAGAGTTAATATTCCACTGAACTCCGAAGGCCCATGACAGTAATATCCCTGGATAAATCTGAAGTGCCCTTGTCTGGGAGACAGAAGCCACTGAGCAGTGAGCTCACCTATGCTAGGGCATCCACACCGCTCAGTGACTTTGTTCCCTGCTCACTAATGCTCACACAGGAACTCTTGTGAAGCAAATAGAAAGGAGAAGCCTCAGCTAGGGCTGAAATGGAACAATGGAATAAACAGAAAATGAAGAGATCTAATATGATGCCTTTTAATATGAAAAAGAAATGTTTGCCACTTAAATGTCTTGGCCTTTATATACACTACTCTTAACTTTTTAGTGTTATCTGCTCAATGCGCTCCCAACCAGTAACATCTGAAATTACATGCAGTGATTTTCAACTAGGTAAGCATGCTTCCTTTGGAAGCAGGAAGGAAGGCATGTGTACTTTGAAAAAGACCTTCCCAAAGATTCTGATATGTTCTTCTGGTGGGCTGGAGGGATAGGATAGCACACCCTTCCCCCTCCTGACTGAAAGTCACAATTCAAGTTAAACAGAACTTTAAAGCAGAAAGTAACTGAAAGAGCAGCATATATGAATCAGAGGGATTCTGAAATTTTTAAAACATGTCTTTTGAGAATGTAAGAGTTTTACATCTCCTTGCAATGCAGTCCTGCATCACATGCATACAGTCTGAAGTTGATAAAATAAATGAAGGCATAAAAATATTATTTAAAACTATCCTCATGACCAGCAGAGAATTTAAGTAGAACAAACTGTTAAAAAGTATTGTTCCTAGGATATGGGCCTAAAAGACCCATCTACATAGTTGAAGTTTTGAAACAATTCCTGTACAGCTATTCATTGTATAACTTAAAACAAGTCTGAGTTAACACCACACACACAGACATAGATACATGGCATGTGCTCATCAACAGAGGTTTGTTTTATTTATTTGTAGAATAATTTGCTCTATAGCCTTTGGAAAAAATGAGATAGGTCTATATTTACTGATAAGAATGTCATGATATATTCTTAAGGTTAAAAAACAAATTTACAGAATACCGGTGATAGTATATCCTTTTTCTGGAAAGCATACATATATGCATATAGTGCATGTTTTATTATCACATATACAGGTGGGAAGATATGCACAAATACACTCAAGTTGTGGAAAGCACTTTTTACTCTCCATGTTTCTATATTGTTCCAATGTTCTTACACTGTGATTTTTAAAAATTATCTCTAAAATGTGTTCTTTTGTAACCTTCCTAGTTTTCCTTTTAAATGTCAGCACAATTTACGATGAAAATTAACTTGCCAGAACAATAATAACTGACTTCCCAGGAAAAGTCCACCAAGAAGTGGGGGAGGGGAAGTTCTACCAGTCCTCTGAGCCGCCACATATTGCACATGACACTTTTTATTTATTTCCAGATTTATATTTAGATTCCCTAAGTCAGTTGTTGATTAAATTACAACTTTAAAATAACACCAAACATTGTTCAGTTTCTCTGCTAGCCAGCTAGTGCAGAACAAATAAAATTATTCCATAAAGTATAAATGGACTCAGCACATTAGCATAATATATTTAATTCTAGTTTAATAACAATCTTCTCCTGATACAGAAAATGAAGAGACACATAGCAGAGTAACTATTTTTAAACTCATATTACCTTGCTATCCAGTATAGCATATGTCTTTAATTTCTTTCTTTGGAAATAATCCACGAGGTACAAGAAATAATTTTATAATGCACATTTTACAAACACTGGTGCACTCTGTATTACTGAAAACATACATTCCCTTCCAATTGTGTCTACTGATTTAATTTCTAATTAAAATCATGGTATAGGTTTTTGAACAGGGACTGTACTTTTTTCTATATTGGAGTTATATTTTGGCATTTGATTTCTAAAACAGTATAACTTCATGTAGAGTTCTTTCCACTGGTAAAGATTCTTAAGAGGAACAGGAAGAAATAACTAGCAAAATACTAAAGTCTATCAAGATATTCCTCAGGAAATTACCTCTATACTGAGGTGATGTTCCAAATGTATGCAAATGGCAGCTAAACCCTATGTTCACACATGAATCTACATTAAAAAAACAGGCTGTCATACAAATGCTATATGATCAAACTTATACGTGGGATCTGAAACAAACAAAAAGCACAGCAAACTCAAGATACAGAGAATAGACTGGTGGTGGTCAGAGGTGGGTAGGGGCGGCTGCAGAGAATGGGTGAAGGTGGTCAAAAGGTATAAACTTCCAGTTGTAAAATAAGTAAGTCCTGGGGCTAATGCATAGCACAGTGACCACAGTTAATAATACTATGTGGTATAATTGAAAGTTGCTAAAAGAGTAAATTTTAAAAGTTCTCATCACAAGAAAATAAAATTCGTAACAATGTGTGGTGATAGATGTTAATTATACTTACTGCAGTCATCATTTCACAATATATAAGAATATCAATTCATGTTGTCTCCTGAAACCAACATAACATGTCAATTATATCTCGGTAAAAAAACAGGCTGTGATTATTAACTGAGATTGGAATTGTTCCACAAATAATACATAATAGAGAATTTAAATGTAAAAATGTTACTAGAATTCTAAAAATGAAGTGAAAAACAAAATTATAAGATTACTTATCTATTCTATAATCAATGGTAAGTGCTACTGGAAGGTTAAATCTTAAATTGTATATTTTTATAATCAACCATGATCAGTATTTTGCATTTGTTAACATTATCGGTATCTTGCGCTTGTGCAATACTTTCACTTTTCTGAGCAATCTATGTTGTTATTCACAATAACTTCGAGTGAAAGTAGACAAATTATTGGTGTTGGCCAGTCTTTCACACCCTTCAGAGTTTGGCTCAAATGCTTAAACAATTAGTGAATACACCTAATAGCAGCAAACAGTTTTCTGAGTATTTACAAAGGTATTTGTGTAGGTATTAGTATTTGAGCTCCCTGGTTTGGCTGATACAAAGAGTGCATCTTACACATCCTTGTGTCCCCCCCACCCGGCATCTGGTTCAGTGCTCTGCACCACAGAAGCTTAATATCTTGAGTGTACACAAGACTGTGAAATAGCCTTGGAGAAAACTTTTGACAGTTCACAATTCCTTGCCTGCAATCAGAACCACTTTTCATGATTCCAGATGCGGCTAAGAGCCTGGTTTTCTACTGTCACATGAAACTACATTTGCTCATTAATTATCACTGATGCCATTATTTTATGAAAGTAAACAGCTAAACCCAAACGATCATTCACATACATGCCAAAGGGCAAATTGTGTACTTCACATGCAAAAGCTGTACATGAAGCTTTATTTAGTGCCTTCCTCTCCGTAATTGTTAGAGCTTCTCTACTCTTGCCTTTCTTTCTTCATTTCGAAATGGCTTTTATTTTGGTAAGGACCCGCTGCAGAATCATGTAGAATGGACCTCAGAACTATGCCCTGAGTTAAGGGTTGCCTTGTGTGTGTTACCTCTGCCTGGACTTTCCAGTTTGTGCTTGTGGAAACTGTTGAATAGCTTCCCCAAAGTACCCCAGGTGGTGGCAGAGAAGTCTCAGGGCAGAAAGTGGAAGCTACATAATGACACCTGAAAAAATGGTTAACAGCTGGAATAAAAAGATGAGTTAAAGCTTGTGAGGCAGGGCACAAAAGGTGCCCAATGCACCTTCTTACAGAATTTGCACACATGCCAATTTCAGTCTGGAAGATAGTAAAGGGCTACAGTAGACCCTGTACAAGGTACTCAAAAGGACAAAAGAAACAAAGCAGAATGATTAAGGATCTAAATCTGAGAACCTAGTAGGCAGAATGCTGATACTGGTCAATAGGCTAAAAAGAACTTACTATAGTGTTACGTTCCTTAAGAAATTACATATATGGAAGAATTTGGTGTGTCTGTGGGGGCAGAGGGCAAAGTATATTTTAAAAGCTGCTAAATGTTTTACAATCCACTTTAAAAAGTAACCCTGTTAGCCAGCCAATTCCAATTTACTGAGTGTCTGACAAGCAAAGCCATTAAATTCAACACTGTTGGGAGAACAAACCTCTGTCATAAAGGAACCTGAAATTTTAATGAGCACACAAAACCTACACATGGAATACGGGAAAAACACATTTTACAAAGCCATACAAAAAAGAGGCATGAAATGAGAAAATTAACATATTAATTTACTATATGAGCTATGTTAAGTGTTAAGAAGCCTCTAAAGGGAGAAATTAAGGAGAAGAGACAAGAAAAAATATCAGGGAATCTCTGGAATGTAAAGATCAGTTTTGAGGTAAGAGGCACTTTCTGGAGGACCAATCTAGAAAGTAGTGAATGTGAGTTCACAAGAAGAAATATTAAGAAATGAACTTGATAAAACTGGGAATAAGACTGCTGGCAGTTGGAGAAGGCTTAACTCACTGTTAAACCAGGGAGTTTTGATTTGTAGCTGGTAGTAACGGAAAATCTGCAACACCTTTAAGAATGAAATAAATGGTCAGATCTTGTTTGAGGAAGAATGTGCTTGAAGCTGAGTTTAAATGCACTAAAGTAGAGTGAAATTAAAGCTCAGAGACCAGTAAAAAGTCTGAAGGAAAGGAAAACTGGCCTTACACTGTAGTTGGAGAATAAACTGAACAATCTCTTTGGACAGAATGTGAAAAAAAAAAAAAAATGTAACAAAATCTCATACCTTTAATCTGGTAATTGTCTTTCTAGGAATTAATTTTAGAAAAATTTAAAGATGAGTATAAAGACTTGTG